ACCATGTCGAATTCGTGGTATAAGAGAAAAAACGATCGCAACATAAAGCATGATTAGATGGCAATAATTCTTCAAGATTTTGACCAAAACTGAACATCTTAAACAGTGTAATTAGGTCGTTAAACCAAAAAATTGACTTGGACGTTTGAGACCCTGACTCAAGACTGACTCATATCATTTTCTCAATCATGATTTTTTTTTTTTTTTATAAAAATATGCATTACATCTATGCCTTCACTATTTCTCTTGCAGAAAAATACTAAGATTTTACCCCATAACTTAAATTATTTAATCATAACTTAAATTATTTAATGATAATTTCTGTCTAGTGAAGTAAAATAAAAGTTCTTAAATTTTGAGTCACATGATATACATATTGATAAGTTGAGAAATGAAAAAAAAATTATCTCTTATTTATTGTATCTATGAATAAAAAAATAATAATATTTGACACATATATCAGGGGTCGACACCATACGAAAGGTTACTCCACTCATGTAATATAATACCTTTCAAGTTGTGATGTTTATGAGTTTGGAGTACCCCTTGTACTCCGTTTATTAATAAATATTATTTTTTACTGTTAAAAAAAATAAAAAAATAAAACTAAAAATTGGCCCAAAGTCAAGGGAGACCGGGAGATGGTAGGCCTAATTCTAAATGGGCCCTAAAGTGAGCTGTCAAACTTCGCTAGACAGCCCGCGTCTGCATTTATCGAAATTTTGCTTGGCCCAAAATGACCGTTCCAGATTTCCAGTAAAATCCCACTGTTCCCAGTACTTGCAGACCATTAGGCAGGCAAGAGGACGCCGATTGACATAGTTACAACATCTGCATATGAAGTCATGAAGGAAAATGATAGTGTTTTTAATGCCATGGATTCGGCCATACATGATAACCTAAACTTATTTGGCAATTATATTGAATTTCGATTAATTTGAAATTAAGTCACATCGAAAATTCTTCCAAAACATATTTATTTATTCATAAGACTTGATCTCAAAATTTTATTTAAAGAAAATCGAAGTATTTTTACTCGAATCACACAGGTTGTTAGCAATATTATATAGTTATAATATTATATAATATTATAAAATTTTAATGTATCATTATATGATTGGTTTTTTTATTTAATAATTTATCAATAATATTATATGTATTCACTAAGTTAATACACATTAAAATTATAATTTTATAATTCTACTTATTATCATATTAACTATATTATTGTTTGTACATGAATTAATCCCTTTTTTAAAGAACAAAACAATACATGAATAAATGCTTTTAATTTTATAATTTATTACTTCTTCTTTTTGTAACTTCTCACATCCGCTAACAAATTAGACTTTGAAGGGTTGAAGTTGAACAATGACACTTTTTTTCCTTTAAAATTAATTCATTCTCTCAAATGACTTTAAAAAATATATATTTTTATCTTAATTGCATAATAAGAGATAATCATTTCTCATCGTTTATCCCATCCCATCCGAATCTTTTATTTTTAGTAAAAAAAGATAATCACTAAATTATTTAAGTTGATGACAAACGATTTTAAAATATTCTTCCCATGTTAATTTAATACATTTAATAAAATTAATTTTTCTAGATATTGTCCACAAGACATAAAACGAATGGCACTTTATTAGCGTGCTATAACGTCGTAATAGTCGCGATAAATACACCGAATATTCGGCAAAGGCCAGCTTGTGTTGATCAAACCAGTCAAATCAAACAGACCATATGCCATTTATATATTCTTCTAAGCAATACACATTTGGTCTTATAGATCACTTAGTATTGGTGTGTATCACTTAGCTTATGAGGTTGGGTTCAATCTTCCTACCCCAAAAATTGCCCTTGATAAAAAAGAAAAAATTCTTCTAAGCAACGTGAATGGTATTCTCGTAAGTAATTAATTTGACATACAAACGTTTGAATTCCTTTATAAAATGAGAATGTGATACCGAGTTGAACACTCCAAAATTCTGGCAACCACCCCTTTCCATGGTTGCACGTTAAAGCACGTGTTGTCAGCTACTTCTGTTTCCAGTCTTCCCAAACCAATCTTCCTTGTCTGTTTCCTTCTTTTTTCTTCTTCTTCTTCTTCTTCTTTTTTCCAACCCAAAATCGACTTTTACATATGGTATTTATTATTAGACCAAAAGGTGCAAGACTTAAGGATGCATTTCGTGTCTTGAGTTTACCGGGAAAAGGAAAAAAAAAAATATTCGGTCATTAGTTTAGGGCAATCCCTAACCTTTTAAAAAGTTCAATTAAGTCCACAATTTTTAAGCTATATGACAAATGGTGCAATTGGTTTTTAAAATTTAGTATTTAATCTATCTCCTGATTATTGTAATTAGGTCACTTACCTTTTCCTATAAATGTTCCAATTTGACCCCAAGTACTCTCTCTCTAAATGATTTAAAATTATACTTTTTAAGTTTATTTTTAATAATCTAACTTTAACTTTTTAATTTTTAGACATAAATTTTAGATAAAAATTTAATATATTATATAAATAATAATTAAAATTTTTTTAATCAAATAAAAAATAATTGACAAGAATTTTATATAGGAAAAAAAACTTTTCAATTATTATTCATATAAATTATTAAATTTTTATTTAAAATTTATGTTAAGAAAGTCAAAAAATTAAAAAATTAAATTAAAATTACTAAAAATGAATGGAGAGAGTAATAATTAATTCTATCTTTCACTTTCAAGCTAATATAGCTAATTTGTAACATTTATCAATAGTTAATTACATTTTTATTGTTTTTAAGGATATGACACTCTTGGTAAGAAAGATAACATACTTCTTCTTTTTTTTTTTTTTTTTTTGCTTGGATTGTCAATATGTTTTTGGATTAGTTTGCACTCATCTCAAAACTATTTCATTCTCAAGTAATCAAAATACTTCACATACTTACCACTTAACTAATTAAGAAACCAAAAAGAGTTGCAAAATTAAAGTTTGGTGATCAAAAAAGGAATTTCTTGAGTTATGGAGCTATATCGTAAGTTGATGGACCAAACCATTAGTTTAACCATTAATTTATTCAAATAAAGTTAGGACCTGACTATAACACTTAAAAAGTTAAAAACCTAGGTGAACCATGTTTAAAAGAGATAGACCTAACCTAGCCCTTTTGCCCATGTTCTTACCTTTGACTCATATTAAAATTTCAAAGCAATAAATAATAAATTACTGTCTTAACTTAACTAATCAAGCATATGACTTTATTACCCTACAAAGTACTAAAACCCTGATGAGGCAGTCAGCGGTCTAATCCGACGGTCAAGAAATTCCCCAACTCGACCGCAGCCCAATCAAACCGTCTAGTATCGCCACGTGTCCCGCCTCAACCTTACGCCCCAAGTCATCGAAAATCAATGCCCCAACCCGGAATTGTCGTAACGAGGACACGAAGATCTCGCTTGACACTTTTTCCTCCAAAAATTTGGGATTTTCTTTAAAAATTGTATTTTGTTACTTTTTTTTTTAATTTCTCTAATTTATATTTTAAATGTGTAAGTTAAATTTTATTAATCATTATATTTATAATTAATTTTATATAAATTTTTATATTAAATTTATATTTTTTTTATAAATTTTAAATATAAATATTTTATTTTATTTTAATTAAATTTGATATAAAAATTTATATAAAATTAATTACAAATATTACATTTAACAAGATTTAATTGGTATATAACCCCAAAAGTTAAGATTATTTTTTTTTGAAAATGATTTTTATATAATTTTTATTTCATTTTTTTATACAATTTGACGTATCATTAAAATATTTTTTTTATTCATATGAGATTCATGATATTAAATATATCCACTCATTTAACAACATATGAAAATAATATAAAAAAATAAAATAAAAAAATATTCGTTGTAACACCATTTTTTTTAGACGTTCTGGTTCTTTTCTATAAAAGGCAATATAACGCCTCGCTTTCTTTTCCCGACAAAACGTTTCATGCGGCCAGTTTCTCCAAAGCTCTCGGAAACAGATCTGAGCTCTTTTCTTCACCGGCGGCATGAGGAATTTCAACTTCTTCGAGAGAGTTTCGAGAGCTTACAATGATCATCCTACTCTCTTCAGACTCGTCGCCCTCTCCACAATCGCAATCAGGTTCTCTGTTTCAAACTTCTTCGTCTCCGCAACATAATCTTCTTGTTTTTGCTCAGTCTGATTCCATATTCGGCTTTTTCTCTCTATTCGCGAATGATTTTTGGCTCCATCCTGATGTTTGTTTCGGTTCTGTTGTTATTTAACTCATTGTATCTATTCTGTGGTAATCGTATACAAAAATCATTTGTTTGCTCTGTTCTGCTCAGTCGCTGTATCTGTTTGGCTTGAGATATGCTTAATTTCTTCGCCTTCATATTGTGAAAACGGATGTGCTCTGCTCGATTGATACTTTCTGCTTTTCATAAAACTATATTTAGTGGATGTAAGGAATTAGCTACGATTCTAATTTTTTAAAAGTAAAATAATTAAAACTCTGTAATTTTTTTATTTTATTACTATTTTTGTAATTTTTGATTATTAGATCTTGTTCTGTTTTTCAATTTTTATTTGACTTATGCATATCGCATACTGTTATGCTGTTGCAGTGGTGGGAGCATTGTTTATGCAGAGGCAAATATAGGAAGCGGAGGACGTGCTGTTGTTGATCCTACCAAGAAGAAGAAGGTGGTTGTGCTTGGAACTGGTTGGGCAGGGATGAGTTTCCTGAAGAATCTGAATAATCCCTCATATGAGGTTGAAGTGGTATCTCCTCGCAATTACTTTGCATTCACTCCTTTGCTGCCGAGTGTTACGTGCGGTACAGTGGAAGGTCGCAGCATTGTCGAGCCAATTCGCAATATAATCGGAAAGGTAATGTTCGAGTGTTGATGTGTGTAGTACATGTGTTAACGTTATGTCTAATTTCATTGTTTGGTATTTTGAATAGAAAAAATATGATGCTCGTTACTGGGAAGCTGAATGCTACAAGATAGATCCAGTGGAAAAGAAAGTTTACTGTCGTACTGCTGCTGAATTGGATGGGAAGAAAGAATTCTCTGTAGACTATGACTACCTTGTCATAGCCATGGGTGCTCGGGTTAACACATTCAATACTCCCGGTGTTGAGGAAAATTGCCATTTCCTAAAGGTGATGGCTTATCATTTTAATTGGATTCTGTTCTGCTATATTTTCTCCCTTTTCCAAGTTTACTTGATTGGCTTTTCCATATTTATTCCAAAAAGCAATTTGGTTCTTTTGCTTTGGGGGTTTTGATTGTTTTGAAGGCAGCAAGTTTGAAACCAAATTTGTTTCTGTACAAATAAATCTATTTGAACACTTCTTATGTAGGAAGTTGAAGAGGCTCAGAATATTCGTAAGAATCTTATTGATTCCTTTGAGAAGGCAAGCCTCCCAAATTTAAGCGAGGAAGACAGGAAGAGAATCCTTCATTTTGTGGTTGTTGGTGGTGGTCCAACAGGGGTTGAGTTTGCTGCACAACTTCATGATTTTGTCAATGATGATTTGGTAAAACTATATCCTAAGGTGAAGGACCATGTAAAGATAACACTTCTGGAGGCAACAGATCATATTTTGAACATGTAAGGTCTCATTCATCAAATCCTTTGTTATGGTTCTCTATCATCATTACTAATCTAATTCATATTAACATGGAATCTTAACTCATCGGACAAAAGCCATACGAAAAATCATTTGTTGAAAGGTTTTGAATTTCTTTTATACGTATTGATATTGGATCTGTGCAATCAATATCATTTATTGCCAACTAGTATTTCCATACACTTTTCAAACAATGCTTTTCTCAAACTTTCCTCCCCGTGCACACTCCATTTATCTTTTCATCCTCTTTCCAAAATAAGATTTATACGGAGCAAACAAAATTTACAATTCCTTTTCCTTGGTTAGGAGTTCTGAGATGGGTTAGAGTTTTTATAATCCTAAAATCATCTAGAATGTGATTGTGGATCCAAGAGATAGTTTCCGTCTTGTGCCAACATAGAAAAAATTAAAGGAAGTAAATTTACTTGAATTAGAAACTTTGAAGCCTAGTCATGTGGAAAATAAGAAATTTGCCCGCTTCATAGAGAGATTTCCTGCCGTTGGTTTGGAAAACATTTTTATGACTTATGGTTGATTATGTCATTCGTTCATGCCTTTTGGTGTCCCTCATACTTATTATCATGCCAATGTCTGTTTGTCAACTCTGTATTTTTCTTTGGATTTATGTTTCGAAAATTCAGCATGAATTTGCTTGAAAATGTGAAGGCTTCTCATGCTTTTAGAAGCTCATCTTTGCAGGTTTGATAAGAGAATTACAGCTTTTGCTGAAGGGAAGTTCCAAAGAGATGGTATTGATGTGAAATTAGGCTCAATGGTTGTGAAAGTTACTGATAAAGAAATTTCTACAAAAGCAAGGAGTAATGGTGAAACTTTTTCTATGCCCTATGGCTTGTGCCTCTGGTCAACTGGTATCGGCCCTCGTCCTGTGATAAAGGAATTTATGCAGCAAATTGGGCAGGTTAGTCATTTTAAAGCCTAGAAGCTCAGCTTCTTGAATACTTGTGGCCGTAAGCATCCGTGCATCGGAGTACTATTCTTGTTTGCCACATTGGCCTAACATGTTGTCCTTTCTACACAGGGTAATAGGCGTGCTTTAGCAACTGATGAATGGCTGCGAGTTGAAGGATATAATAACATTTATGCACTTGGTGACTGTGCAACAATTAACCAGCGGAAAGTCATGGTATCCATTTTCTGTAGTCTCCTGTTTTTGGATCTTCTGATTATAATCACAAGTGCATTTAGTATCTCTCCACTTTCCTGATTTATGACCATCCAGTCCTTTTGAGTTACTATATATTGGTGGTTATTATTATTACTTTTTTAAAGTCTTACTCATTCTATCCTATGGTCTCAGGAAGATATCTCTGCTATTTTCAGCAAGGCCGACAAGGATAAGTCTGGCACACTCACAGTCAAAGAATTTAAAGAAGTGATTGCTGATATTTGTGAAAGATATCCTCAAGTGGAGCTTTATCTGAAGAAAAAGCAGATGCGCGACATTGTTGATCTGTTGAAGGAAGTTAAGGGCGACGCTGCTAAAGAAACAATTGAAGTGAGCATCGAAGAATTCAAATCAGCTCTCTCTCAAGTTGATTCCCAGATGAAAAATCTTCCTGCTACAGCACAGGTATTGTGTCAATTAAATAGGATAGTGAAACTATTAATTTCTATACTCACGAAAAGAAAACCTATAAATTTTTTCCTAAGATTTGTTTAATCACAATACCTTACCTACCAATGTTTCAGGTTGCAAACCAGCAAGGTGCCTACCTCGCTAAATGTTTTAACCGCACCGAAGAATGTGAACAGAATCCTGAAGGTCCTATTAGATTCAGAGGAGAAGGTCGTCACCGCTTCCATCCATTTAGGTATAAGCTGAACTCCTTGAATGCATTTATCATTATTCTGGTTGCTTGTTAATTTGTTATCCAACCGGCATCACCCCTTAAGATGTTGTAAATTGATTTCACTGGCATCATCTCCCTCTGTTGATTATTTTTACAGATATAGGCATTTGGGACAATTTGCTCCGTTGGGAGGGGAACAAACAGCTGCACAACTCCCTGGGGATTTGGTTTCTATTGGTCATAGTTCCCAGTGGCTCTGGTACTCTGTCTATGCAAGGTGATTTTTCTTTCTCGCTTACATTTCATGTAGAATCCAATCGGTTGCTGTTCAGCAAGTTTCTGATTCTCTTCTTCGCTTTTGATTTTCAGCAAGCAAGTAAGCTGGCGCACAAGGGCATTGGTGGTATCAGACTGGTTCAGACGTTTTATCTTTGGGAGGGATTCTAGTCGCATTTAAGCAGCTGTCAGACCTATAGATTTACAACTAGCTGGAATTGCAGTTCCATCCAGTTTTACTATTTTGAGTTTCCAAGAAAGTTTTCCAGTTTGCTTATTCATTTCTAATAATCAAGCACGAGAGTCTATTGGCAGTAACTAATTCCACTTGCCAGAACTTACAGATTGATTAATTTGATTTTTTGGTTAGAAGAAACTACAGAAAGATTTTTGTAGTGGTATTTTATAGAGTTAATATTGGGATCGGTACATCCAACGTTTTTGTTGCAGAATTTTTACCTTGGACCTGAAATTCATGGTAAGCGTTCCTTTTCAAGAATGCAGAATGACAGATCTTTTTCTACTCTTCTAACAATATGTTTTGTGATGGAAGACTTTA